AATTACATCAAACATTTCAATATAATTAGATTTTCTTACATCTTATAAGTTTTTTTCGTTTGCTGAATAAAATAAGATGCTTCTTCATTTTAGACCGGAAGCCTAGCGCCAAATTAAGCATAATTGGTGTGGCGGGTGGCGCGTTCTTGTAATGGAATATGTACCACCAAATTAAAAAGAATAAAAGATAAGAAGAAAGAGCTCATAATGGTCTTCGGACTATAAGCTAGCTATGAGTATGCAAAGGGTTACAACTACAGGTTGTTGTGTCATTACTTGCAAGGTGAACAAATGGATACTCACGCATCTTATTATAAATAACTTATATATACTACAATATATACTATAATCGCTTTTTTTGCCCGACTTTTCCAATGCTTTTCCACGCAAAGCTAGCAAACATGGTCATGGCTACGGTTTTTAACGGTTCAAAAGTCAATCCAATTCAAATAAGAACAATATAAATAAGTAAACAAAAGAGTAAACTATCCTGAAAGTTTCCAAATAAATATTTTTATACTTTAAATAGCGGTAAATCTAAGAAAGAAGTCTAATATTAGTAAATAGGTGTATAAGAAAGGAAAATAATAATTAATAAATCACTGGGCATGTTCAAATCGTGTATGCAATATCTATTGTACTAGTCGATAACTCAGGAACTAAGACCAAATCATAAATACCAATCTAAAGACATTTAACCAGTACCTGAAATTATCGCTAACAGAAATAAGAGCAATGGTCGTAATATCACGAACGATTCTACTCTCAGTGTTATTATAATAAGAGCTATATCTAAGTATAAAGTGCTGACATAATTTTACGCTATGTTGTCAATTTAAACGCAATCAAATAAACAAATGATAAATAAACCATTTAAGTTCGAAGTAACCGGTGCGTGGCTAACGTTTCAAGATAACTAGATACTCGTTTTTTAAATATCGCGTTGTACTAACTTATATTAAAATATACAAAAAAAAATGTAGTCATTGTGTGTGTGTGTGTGTTTATCAGTCTCAACGCATTTACGCCTGAACTTTATATTTACGATTCTTCCTTTCCTTCATTTTATGTCTGTTTTCATTTTCTATCCTTCAAACCTGATACCTCATTTTAAGGTTCCGTACCCGAAGGGTGCCAACGGAACCCTAATACTAAACCGCTGTCCGTCCGTCCGTACGTCCATCTCTCAGAGGGCTGTATCTCATATACCGTAATAGGTAGAGTTAAAATTTTCACAGAGTATGTATTTCTATTGCCGTTATAACAACAAATAATAAAATAAAATAAAAATACAAGAAATATTTTTTAACTTTTATAATCCATCATCGAAGGTAATATACATACATAGAGTTAAAGTCATATTAATAAAAAGTACATGTACGATGCTACGAAACCCTTCGTGTGCGAATTCTACTCGCACTTGACCGATTCAAACCGATTTAAATGATTATTTGATATTTCATAAGATGCTATCAGTGGTAGGTACCTACCTACTAAGTGTGGTGGGCTCAAAGCCTCGGTCTCGCATTTATAAGATTTTCATGTAAAGGTAAATGAAATTAGCGTGAATACAATAAAGAAATCATAATGTTAAAACCTGCATGTCCTTTAGCCAGTGTGACTACGAATATAGTCTCCGTTTTGCGGGGATTCCCGTGTACAGCAGTGCGACGTCAAATTTATTTTATATTGAAGTGAAGTTGGATAAAAAAGTCTTTTTTTTACATAAATCTAAAACTAGTGCATAGTATATAATACAAATAATTTTTTTTAGGATTTTCCCAATGCCGATGTAGCTTTGTCCGGCTTTTAGCAATACTCTAATGGCAAGCTATTGTAACTAGCATTTCCAGAATCTAAACCGTGCTTTTCGCTTTAAAAAAATAACCATTCAAAGATTTCCTGACATACATATCACTACATAGTATAAAACAAAGTCGTTTCCCGCTGTCTGTCTGTCCCTACGTATGCTTAGATCTTTAAAACTACGCAACGGATTTTGATGCGGTTTTTTTAATAGATAGAGTTATTCAAAAGGAAGGTTTTAATATATAATTTATTAAGTTTTTGTATACATTGACTAAAATATAACGATATTTGTTGAAGGTGTCGGAAAAATATAAGCTGTCTGGGAGCTTTCAACGAAAACGCTGCCTAAACCCTTTGAGATATAACAAAATAATGTATAGTAGAATTGTGTATCTTATATAGGTCTACAGATAAGTCTACGATGGCATATATCTATTTCTTAAGGATAACATACTATAGGGACGAACCCGAGCGAAGCGAGGGTGAGTCGCTAGTATGTATTTAAACGTATAAAAATCGAATCGAGAATACTTTTTAAGGTTCTAAGATTCATTAAAGAAGAAATAAAAGTCTCAAAACCATTTTGCTTACATTTACAAATTACATTGTAAGCTTTTTAAAATTGTAAAGAAATGTTAGAAAAATATATGTAAAAATAATTATTATGACCCCGACGTGATTTGAACACGCAACCTTCTGATCTGGAGTCAGACGTGCTACCGTTGCGCCACGGAGTCTTGTGCGTGGTACGTCCGAATTAATATATCTATTGTACAGAGATATATTTCAATATAGCTTTTAGAAAGCTTTCACCTTTTTAAGATTCCGTACCCGAAAGGTGTCTACGGAACTCTATATTACTAAGGCTCTGCTGTCCGTCCATCCGTCAGTCCGTCTGACAGAAGCATGTATCACATGAACCGTACTAGGTAAAGAGGATTTCAAAAAGGCTGCCATGCCAATAAAACCGATTATGGTACGGAACCTTTCGTGTGCGAGTCCATGTCGCACTTGATTATTTTTAATTTAACTAGTTATTATAATATTAATTTAAAATATTACAATTCAATTATGGACGTCTGAAGTATCGCTGAATTGACGACGTTCAAAAAACGTATGCCAGCTTCGAAGGGCGGATTTCGACTGACAAAAATCTGATCAAGATAAAAAACAATGGCGGAATCAAGTGTCGGAGGTCAAGATCCTCAGATCATTTAATAATTATATTATTAATTAAATAGAGTTAAGCATGGTAATTTTATATACCTACCTATAACATTACCGTGGTTTATGGGTTCGATAACAAAATATGTTTAATACCAATAAGGCTGGTTGGAGTAAAATTTAAGTTGACCCTATATTATAAAATTAAAGGGTGCGGTTTGCGGATGCGGGTAGGGGGAATAGAAAGCGCCTATATCTTGCTGGATCTCCGCGTCAGGTACTCAGCTTCAGCGCCGATGATGATGATAGCAGCAGTTAAATATATAGTGATGGTGATGATGATACACATGGGGGCACACGTCACAAGGCACTCGAATGCACCATGCAAACTATAGCACTCGCGCGGAAGTACGTCTCGAGACTTAAGCGGTTAATTACGAACTGTTCATTAGCATGCATTACAATTCCAGGCGTAAAAGTGCGTAAAAGGAGGAAAACGGGTAAGAAATAAAATTATAAAGATTTACTATTGGCAGAAACAACATACATTCTCCGAACAAACAGCAGATAAGCCGAGGTAATAAAGAATTATTTGCTCATTATTATTTATTTGACTGAAGTTGAACATTTGCATATTATCAATAAATCAATGTTTCAAAGTAATTCAAAATATAACTCTATCAATATAAGTTACATCGTTAGCCATTATCGTACAACATTATTGGTACTCTCGAAGCATAAGATCATCACATTTTCGATTGCATGAAAAAAGAATAAAAATCAAGGTCTTTTGGATACTTCTACATAAGAAAGAATAAAAAACAAGGTCTTTCGTGTACTTCTACCAGTATTATAGTTAAAGCAAACACCATATTTTATTCATACTAATTTCTTCCCTAACTGAAAACAAACCTGTGATTAAACAATACTATTATAGATTATGGTGATTCTTATTCTACTTCACTCACCGTTTTTACGCCTATTATCACTCAGGTACTAAGCATCGTTTAAAATATGAACTTACTTATATTCAAATGAAACTTTTTTCATTTGTGAATTCTTTAAACATTATTAAGGCTACCCCTCGCACATATTTCACGAATAAAAACGTCCATTCTCCATTTTTCGAGTTACCGTTTAGGGGCAGAAATCCGTAATCCTTGTTTAAAAGAAAACTCATTTATCTAAAGCCGGGGGAAGTTCTCGGAAAGAGTTTGATATCGATAATGTGACGTTGCTAGTTTTTGTGTGCAGAAAGCATTGTGTTACAGAAATACCCACCTTTTAAAATATTTAGCTGCTCTTACGTACTCTTCTAGTTACTACATTTGACTACTTTGACTAGATTATGAAGGTTATGCTAAAGGAACTACATACTACATAATTATTTATATGCTTAGATTATTGTTTTAATTATAAATAGTTCGTTCTAGTTTCAGACTTACTTTTTTTAAACACATAAACAAACTATGACAAATACTTTTTTAAATTCATCCAAAATAAATTGCCCTGAACAAAATTCGAACCACCACCAGCGTAAAGGTAAGATGTCCACAACTACACCAGACCTACAATAATATAATTATGTAGTATACAAAATACGGCATTTAAACACATAAAGGTTTTATTTCAAAAGGATGATAAACTATACGGCGCATACCAAAAAAATCCAGCAGATTTTACGCAGCAATAACTCTTGGCATATTCTTTATAGTCGTAAAATATCAGATTTCGTCCCCCGCCCGGCGTAAACCTGAGTGACGTCTACCGCCTGGGGCCGCTATCAATCCGCATAGGCCAGGAGGCGAACGTGGATGTTATGTCTAGGAAGAGAACATTAGTATTATATAAGCAAAAGCTGGCGTTTAAGACGCTCAATTGATTATTTATCATCTCTGTTAATTACAAGAAATTATTAATAATTAAAAGTAAGTATTTGCTGAATATTTATGGTTATATCTAAGAGCATTCTGTGATTAAATGTGTAATGAAATTGATAATATACCATCAAGCACATTCTGTTCTTAGACTATAAGAGTAAAATGTGTTACTATAGACTTTACAATCGGGCCGGTGCGCGGCGTGTCGCCTGCCGCCTGCCGCCTGCCTCCGGCAATGTACGGAGACTCCACAACTGTACTAGCGACGGTCTGCGGTTTTGTTCTAATACGCATTCAATTAAATACTAAGAAACTAAATGGCTTTAAACTTAGATATCGACTATTCAATAATTATTGAGATATTTGTCTATCTATCTACAATAACAATATACAATATAAAGATAATAAAAGGCAGATATTTTTTTAAACATGTAGTTGAATATTATATTGTCAACATTATTAGATAAACTCCATGGTAAATTGTCGTAGTAATTATCTTTAAAGGTCTATCAAATCATATAATGTTCACTCAAAAGTCGTAGGGGACTCATAACGTTCTGTAAATACCTGTGCAATATAAGATACAATTTACAGACATCTCCGATCGAATAGACAAAACGATTCTTTAATTAATTTATCATCTTTCTTTACTGTAGGTATTAATTTTAAAACTTTGACGGAGAAGTTCATGATGTTGATAATATCATATATAACGCAATGGAATTATAATATAGATCAAAACTAATAAATCAGTGAATCTTTTTTTTATGAAATCTTAATGACTGAGAAATTAATTTAAATTCCGGTCGTTCAGGTCGTGCGACGTCCCCAAAATTGTTCTTACAAGCACAATTTTAAAAATTCATAAGTTTTTGATTTGTTGAGATATTTTAATAATTCTTTCATATTTTTGTTATATTTTACTTAAACTTTTATAATTAATACATTAAATTAAAAAGCTTTGAAAACTTCTCCATTCATCCGATTTTAATTTTTTATTATTATTATTATTCTTTTGTTTACTGGCTTTCAGGAGTGTCAATTGGGCACAAAATACTTCGCCAATGTCGCGTATTTTTTAAATGATTTAGAAACATAGTCTGCGACAAACGGACTGTCAGTTATCTGTCAGAACACTCGCTGTAGATGGTCAGTATCAACGAAAGATATTAGGGTCCAATTTCTTTTCATATGTACTTCTCTTGCGACAACATTTTTACAAAATCTACCTGTCAGTTATCACTACAAATAAATAAAGTTACATTTTTAAAAAGGTTTGTCGACCAGTTATCTTGACGTAAATTGAATTAGGCCAATTAAATGATTTCGGCTACTTAAGCCTCGTTGAGTAAGGTGTAAGTTATATCAAATAATATCTCTTAGACGTAATGTTTTTGGACAAGTTTTTCAATTTGTAACGAAATGTAAGTATATTCTAAGATGATAAGAATTGCTTATGACAACTTTATCAAGAGGTTTTATCTAGTTAGGCTAGTACTTTAGTTTTTTTTCTAATTTGTCTATACATATCTTGTTTTTTTTCAACGCTTAGTCAAAAATAACATAATCGTCAAGCAACTGCCAGCCTTCTGTAAAAGTAATTCCTAGTTTAAGTTAAAGCTAAATATTTTCATATAAAATCCCAGCTTTATGCTTCCTATATAATATGTATATCAAATCATCCCGCAACTCTTAGAACATGATAAGCTACACGTAGCTGTATTAAATATTCCAATATAATACAAAACAATTCAGGAATATAATCATTCATGAACCGCTGAGCGTAAAAGAAATAATTATTATAACCACATGATTAAATAAATTTATAGAAACACTAAGCTTAAGAGTTGGTAGTTTTTTTTTCGTTTAACAAGCTAATCTTTGGAACTGTCAGTCTAATTTATTTTTTTACATTTGGTTGTCTATTTATGGAGGAAGATTAGATAATACTACGTTCTATAAGATCTAATTTATACGTTTTTTAATAATATTTAATATCAAAGATATTAATAGGGTGTCATAGAATTGAAATTCAGTTTTCTCGATTTTTTGTTTTTTTTATGAAGTACGCTGAAAGCATTTGTGGTATTTTTTATAATCATCTGGAAATAGTTAACTTAAACCCATCACAGATCTTTATTTTAATCGGTCGCAAAACTTACAATTACTACTGCATATAAAATTATGTTATTGCACTATAAATAGAAAACCGTAGGTAATTGCTACTCTTAGATAGCCTTAAAGAAAATGTACAATAATGATTTTTACATCTATTCAAAGTTATAAAACGATTTGTAAAGTTAAAGGAATCAATTGTAAAATAATATTTTGGTACATTTCTAAACAACTGTAATAATATATAGAAGCCCCTTAGAAATATATAGGTACATATATCTTATTAGTATTTTATAAATGTGAAAGTTTAAATGGATGTTTGGATGTTTGTTACTCAATCACGCCAGAACGGCTGAACAGATCTGGATAAAATATAACACAGAGATATATTATAGTCTGGAATAGCACATAGGATACTTTTTGTCCCGAAAAATTCCCGTGGGATAAATTTGTTTTTGTTTTTCTAGAGGCGAACCCGAGCGAAGCGAGATTGAGCCGCTAGTATAAGTACATATTTTACAAACGATTACTAAGTCATTTCAGTCAGTCTTTCATCTAAAAATACTTATTCAAGACGTAAATTTAAATCTGAGCCTCCATAAGCTTCTATTCAAACGTGGAGCGCGAAGGGCGATAAAACGGAGTCACTCTCCTCATATAAATCTTTTTGCGAAGATAGACCTCACAATATCCACAATTTATTGCGTTAAACCTGCAAGCTCAAGCACTAAGTAATACTGAAATTGACATAAAATTTTACAATAGCCAATTAAAGTTCTAAATATGTACTTTCTACTTCCTAGTAATATTGGCGATATTAAAGTTTGTGAAAACGTTTTAGTGTTTATTCCTCAGTTATTAATAGAAAATAATTACCTAAGCAGATTATATGTAATTTGACACACTAATAGACCATGTTCCAGATAATTAATAGACATATATAATAATTTTATTCTGATGAGATATTGTTAGTTTGCATGATTCACCCATGGACGACATAGCAAATAGCTTTAAAAATCAATATTATGAAAACTTTATCACCAAACAATATTGTAATAGAAAGGATGTTAAAACATTTAAAAAAGCTCTGAAAAGTGCAAGCAAAACCCATCAATACAACTAGTGACATCATAAAAATGCGTCATGTGAGTCAGAACATTAGGATTGGAGTATCTCATAATAAAGAATAAAACTGTCAAATACATTTACTTTGAATAATGTCGTCATTCGGCAGACTGTTTTTTTTTTCACCAAAAATATGTTTTAGCGTGTAAGATATACATGCGATATTCGCTTGCAAGGAGATAAAATTTATGATCGTATGGTAACTGCCTTCGAGGGTGAAATGTGTGAATTTAGAGCAAGTGTTGGGGGAGTTCATGATCCTTGCAGTAAGCACAATCTTAAGCTTCTTTATGTATTTTCCTTATGGGATTTGTGTGTTCAAAAAATGTGCTAAGCTGCATTTATTTCGTCTAAACCAGTTGTTTTTATATCATTCCCTAAAATTTATATCATTTTCTCTGGCTGTGACGATCAAGTCTTTACATTAGAAATGAAGTTAACTAATAAATAGATATACTATTGGCAATTTACACTTGTAAAGAGATAATGATTTTGAGATGTAAGAGGTCGTACTAGTAGAACTTACTATTTTAATTTTTAAAATATAACAATATCTATATACCTTTATAAAACAAAGTCAGGTTTTGAGACCGATTTTTATGATCTTTGATTTGTTAAATTTGTCTCCGCCCCGAATAGCAGAATAACTATTAAAAAATCGGAAAAATCAGGAAAAAATTATATGGTTATCGCTGGCTAATAACTATTTACATATATATATTTAAAATGTACCTAGCGATGAACCCGAGCAAAGCGAGGGTGAGCCGCTAGTTTAGAATAAAATACAATATAGGAATAAGTGCCAGTAATATTGTACTTGAGGATGTAACTCAGTAAAACATAACAGTCAATTATTTATACTTTTTTTTAACTTAAAACTGATAAAAGAAAATATAAAAAATAAGACTTAGTAAAAAGTCTTTTTATTGAATTTACAAGAAGCAACAGTTTTTCACTTGCTGTCCTTAGTTTTACGAACGCATCTGTCTCACCGCAGCGGCCGCGCTAGCTGCGGTCGGCGGGTCTCACAGGTCCCGACATTAATATCTATTCAATTATTTCTTTCAAATGTAATCTCAATATACTCATAAACAACTCAGCCAATACCCAACCTTATACCAAATATACACAAGAGATATTTTAGCTTGAATGTATAAACTAACGAATTTCGAAGCGTGGCTAACTGTTCCGTGGTTACAGAATTCAATTCGAGCCGATCGAGAGGACTGAGTACACTCGCAACCAACGAACGTTTAAACGGTACTCGCCATTTAAGTAAACAGTCAAATGAGAGTTATGGTGCCTTACAGCCCGTACACGGCAGTGTGGCATGAATAACTGACCATCGACGTTTATGTTGCGGATATTTAATTGAATTCTAAATAGGTATTTAGCAGCTGTTATTGCATTTTACTTCCTTTATTAAGATGAGAAAAGGATGAAGTTTGTTAGATATTTTTGAAATGTAATTGACCAATTAATTAATTTTGAAGTTTCATAGCTCCAAAGGAAAAAATCTTTATTTTAGGTACTATAAGTGTGTTTGACAAAACATATATTATTTTTTTGTTTATTAGTATTAAATTCCATTTAGTCGCCGGTGCGTTAACTCCTTTCTTTGTTTCATATACATATACTCATATTACGAAATATCAAAATATTTGATTTTATGCAACAGTACCTAAACTATAAGCATGAACGAATTAACCACAATTCGTCCATGACTATAACAATAATTTAAAAAAATAAGATTCCACAATTGTTGCCTTTAATAGAAAACTAATTCGATTCTTTTAATCAGTGGCTCCTATGAGTGCCGTTTGGGGACAATTTGCTTCGCTAATGTCACATAGAATATAAAAGACAGCATGTCCGGTAGAAATGACATATTTAAGTAATATGTCACGTGGTCAGAATATGCCATGTCTCTATACATTTTTTGTGTACTTGTAGTATCAATTAAAGAAAGACCACTTGTCTAAGGAGGCTGGTACTATGCGAAACCGGACTATTCAGCATTGTGTACGAATACCCACCCTCTTA